ATAATAACTCAATTAACCATTAAAAGCTTTAGTTAAAAGATGTAAATGGACAGTGGGTCAGAACTGTACTGTAATTTTACTTTAGAATGAAGAAATATTGTTTTTGTGATCACAGCCAATTTCTGTGTTAGAATTCTAAACTGTTTTATTTTCTGCTTCAAATTAGCCAGCTTTTCTTTACTGTAAAGTTCTTTGGTTTACATTTTGAATTTTGACCACAGACTCCAAACACTGAAATTTAACCAAGAGAGGCTGATTATATGTTCAGGGTTTTAGTATGAATATCTAATTACATATTACATTATAGTTTTTAAACATACACCTAACTAACAAGAGAAACAAGTCAACCGGCATCAGTCAATTGTCCAAGTACTTGTGATCCTTCAAAATAATGAGGTTCAGAAGTATTAATTTTTTAATTTATCGAAAAAAAAATCCTTTGAAGTTTTACTCATGAGTCATGTTTTTTCACACAGAATGACTGCTACAGTTGAAAGTGAAAATCCCAATTTAGACTTGTCTTGGTTCTTTTGGAGGGCACTGTAAGAGCTGTAGTGTGCTTTAAAATGTAGAGAGTTACACAGTCTCTGATTGATTTCAATGATGAGTTCCACAGACATAGTGCTGCAAAAGAGAAAGTTCTGTTGGGGCCTGGTCAAAATAGACCTGAATCAGAATATTTCACACTTTATGCTTATTTTACAGCTTTATACACTGTAAGAATCCTTAAATCTTCTAAGTTTCAAAGGAGCTAATGCAATAAACAGAGGACAAGGGCTATGTGTTGATTACTTGTAGTTACCACACAAACTGCAGAATTCTGGAAATACCTTAAATTAAAACCTAGGAAGTAAGGTTTAAAAGTGGTGTAATCATAAGGCATGTATCAATATTTCAGTATCTGTCAGGAAGAGCAAGACTCTTAAGTGAGCAATTTTACACAGGTAAAGGAAGTATACCCATGTTACATTACTACAATAATACACTTTGACACTGTAGAATTGTTTAGTACTCTATACTTTTTTATAGAATTAGTCCCTTAACCAGAATTGGTTATAGCGAAGAGATGCACCAAAGCAAGGCTACCTTGCTCAAAGGACAATAATGAATTGCTGAGCCCAGTTCAAAAACCTTCCAAACTAGGTGGAGAGGCACAATTTGGAATTTGGCTGATCAAACCCAAACTACATGCTTTTGGGATATGGGCAGGAACCAGAGCACCTTGTAAAAGCACAGGCGAACACAGGGAGAAAATGCCAACTCCACACAGACAGGTGCCAAAGGCCAGAGTCAAACCCAGGACCCTGGAGCTGTGAGGCAACAGTGCTAACCACCATGCCACTTCTCTGCTGACAGAATGGTGTATTCTGTAAGTTCTGCAAAATAAAAGCAGCGCTGAAGGTGAGATCATTATGTTAAACAGTAAGGGTTGTACAGGAACAGCATGGGAAAGGGAGGCTGAACAAAGAGTATTACATTTTATTCTTCTACCAGATATTCCTTCGTACAAAGTAGAAAGGTTTGTGTTTTGGTTTTATAGAATGCCAAACAAATGTGAGAATGGTGAATATGTTCCCGTTGTGTAACTAATGCAACTTTCTACCCCCATTTTCTAAATATTCATTGCTCTGAAAAGTAGTATGTTTGCCTTTTAAAGTCTCATCAGTCAGCTCCTTCTTTTGCTTTGAAGTATATTTTAGGTCAACAGATTTCAAATGAATCCTTTCGCAAAACTCTCTGACACAATAATTGAAGGCAGAAACATTATTGATACAGCATAATCCTGGAGTCAAATGAAGTAACTAGCCAAAAGGTTTGTGAAATGATAATAAGCTACTGTTATAATATAGGTGCCTGCAGTGGGGAATTAAATCTTCCTTGCTATAAAGGAGCTTTTGAATCTTGACAGTAAACTGAAAATGTTGAGGAAATTGAAAGAGGCACACAATGGAGCTTTCTCAAGGTTATATAGTTTACAGACAATTACACCGTAGGACTCTTCTCCTTAAACCATTGTGCTTTTTTCTTCTGGACTCTGAATAATGCTGAATGCTAATTCTGTATAACAGTGTCATTCGTATTTAATCTCTTTTTATTTCAAAGTTGTGATCACTTAGAGAACAAATACAGCTTTTAGGAACATAATTTCTCAAGTATTTACAGTAGAATAGGATTTTTTTCTATAATTTATTCACTGCTTATGCTATCATGTACTGTGAATGATTAATATTTTTGACATTTACTTACAGCTTTTCATCTCAAAGGATCCTAAAACATTTTATATATAAGGAGAGTACCCTCTTCATCAACCACTTAAGTGCAGCACCCACCCAAGTGACACAAAGCAGTAATTATCTGCTAGCGGCCCCCACTACAACCCGAATAGGTGAAGTAACTAATTGCTTCAACACATTAATCAAGGGTGAACTTAAGGAATACATAATTTGATTATCAGAGTGGAAATTAGCCTGGACACTGGCGTTAGCAATCCTACTCTTTTCAAAAGTGTTACAGAAAGACCAAGTAGTAAGGACTTAATCTCATCTGAAGGATGAGCCTCCTACCACACATCATCCCTGGTTACCACATTGGGGCATTGGTTTGGTCGGTTTGAAAATTCTGGTCTGAAGGCATAGGTTACCTAGTTTTCCTTGGAGATCTCCCATCCTAGTATTGATTAGGCTTGCGTAGCATCTTAGATCTGACGAGTTCAAATTACAGGAAGATAATGTGTATGTTATGGGGCCAAGTTTATCACTGCTGCTTCACCATCCAAATATCCTAATGATATAAAGAAGCAAGCAACATCTACTTACACAGATCACTTACCTGTACAGATGAAACTTGATAATCCACCATAGACTAGGTCATCATTGTCTGGTAACACAAATGGGCACCTGGTCTGGACTTCCAGACAGTATTGCTTGCAGGGAATTCTGTGGTGGCACTGACTATGGGTGGCGTTAAAATATTCCGAGCATAACCAGGCTTTGTAGACTGACTGTAAGAAAAAGAAAAAAAACTGTAAGACTTCAACACATACATAAATAAAAACCTTGTTTTTTTGTGAATTTAAATAAAAATTCAAATGTACCTCTCTCAAGTGAAAGTTTCCGTTTAAAACATGAGTATGTATTTTCCTCATAACAGCACATAAAGCTGTTTCTTATAATATATAAAATATATATGGTTATTTTGTTTACCTTTAATGGACATACACGTTTTTGTAATGCAAGTTTAAGGTTTGTGTTTTGTAATGCAAGGTTAAGGATGTGTTTAGTTTATGGTTACAATACCATAAGTGAATAGAACAAAAATCTGAACTGTACTGTGTAAGCTAAACACATCCTGTTCCTACATGCATTTCCTACAAGATACTGTATTTATAAATCATCTTATCAGTCCTCTGTCTCTCTAAAAATAGAACTTAGTAAACTTCATTGGCAGTGCTTTTTTTAAGTGTCTCTTTGCACTGCTAAAATACATGTTTATTAGCAAATAATGGATTTACTCACTGTACGTCAGCAAATGCTAAAGTATTTTCACCACCATTTTTATGATCTTTAAATTATGGTGTTTCCTTTGAAGCTTAAAAATGCTGATTTCTTTTTGGCAACTACTGTAGCTGTTACAGTCTTTTCTTAAGGTGCGTAACATGTTATGGTTTTGATAACACCTACTGTAGCATTTGTTTGTTTTGTTTCAATAATAGAAAAACACACTGTATTGCCAAATTAATCCCTTGTTCACAAATAACAAGATCAAAAGAACAAAAGAGTTTCACAACCTCCAAAGGTAACTGTCCATGCTATTCTTTTATAGAAAATGTAATATTGCTACGAGCATTCAATTTTGAAAGTCCATGTAACAACAAAATCTGAAATACAAAATACAAATGTATTTCTGTACATTATTGGTAATATTATTGGAACTATTGTGGTATGTTTTCCATTACAAATTTGACATTTGTGGCTTCATTCAAATTGTTGGAAAACTGGATATCTGATTAATTTTCAGTGGATTGTCAGTTTCAGTTTCAGTCAGTTTGACACAGGTGGAGAAACACACCATTTGATCACTGAACATAAATAATATTTCATCTTTCAGACTTTCAATTATTGAAAATACAGATACACCACTAAGGACATTTTGAATTATAATAGGACTTAACCAGAGTTACAGAGAGGCCCACAGTACAATAACCATTAGACTACAATAACAGGGTCTGAAAAATTAAAATACAAGCTAGTTTTGTTTGACTTTAAAAGTTTGACAATAAAGTTGACTTTAGACAGCTGCAGCCATGGTAACAGTGAGCTATATTGCCCAGTATACCTTTATCCACTGAATTCATGACTGCTCCCTTGTAGTATGTGGTAAACTTCCTTATACAGTAGCTGCTAACAACTTAATCCCTAAAAAAGACTAAATTTCCACTTCAAACTGTAAAACAGGAATAAAATGTCAAGTGCTGAACTTCAAATGTATCAACCTCCAATTAAAACCAAAACTACTTCAGAATATAAATATTCCTTGATAAAATAGCTGAATAGCAGTAAAATCAATAAACATTACAATAATGCAGTGTGTGATGTTTTTTTTTTTCACATACCCTGTAGCCAGATTAAAAAGTACTAATTATTTCCTTATGATTAATATCAATCTAAATAGCAAAGATGGGGTTCTGACCTTGGACAAACTAAAAGACAGTGTTATTTTCAAATTATGTTATTCAGATGTAGAAAGGACTTTTCAATTTATGTAACCTTCATATTGATTTTATTATGAAATCACAGATGTTTATTTAGATTAATAAAAACAAAATCTTTACATATTTATTTTGCAAGTATTTCATTTGACTTCTCTCTGTGAGCTAAAATAAAAGACATTACATGTGAAACTGAGTATATCTCTTTGTGTGACAGTTTTCTTTCAAGAGGTGATATTTTGATCAAGAGGGTGCCTGAGGTGTCAGCTGTTCATAAAGAGATTGTTTTTCTTTCAAACCGACAACGACAGAGACAAACAAGAGCATCTCCATCAATAAGGACTATCATCACGTGCTCTCTGCTTTGCTGGATGTCTTTCCTGATATTTCAAGACTCAGATCCATCTTTCTAGTGTCTGGGTATGTCATCAGCTGACACTGGATGTAGTTAGCCAGATAATGCTAATTTGTTCTTTAAGTCAGAGATCATTTTGTAGAGAATCAATGGGAAGACAGAAACATATACCTGAAGGGATGCACCCATTTCAAATGAAGATGACACTTGATTAAAAATAGGCATCTTTGGTGATGCACCTTCATGTTAACAGACACAGTGTGATTTTAATAATAGTTCTCTAGAACTCAAGAAGTATGTTTTCTATTATCATTTTATTACCATAATCTATTTTTGGTTACTGTTGGGGAATTATAAAAAAACATTTTAAAACCATGATAAAACTAAACATATTTTATCACGTTTCTGAACAATATTTTTACTTTAAATGTAAATAAAGCATACAAAGAGTTACCTAAATTTCAACATTTTTTGGAAAGGTTTTGTAGAGTATCAAAGTCAGTTATAAACAGTATTGTTAGAGTTTTTTTTTATAATTCAAACAAAAATTAAACTTTAGTTATAACGGATTTTCTTAAAGCTTTACATTGCAAAAATGAGAGCTTTGTGTCTTAAAGTTAAAAGGTTGAAAAAACCTCAAGAGAACCACAATTTCTCCAGCCTTTGTTCTCTGCATTAATCATACAGGATGTTGCAGGTTTCTCATGGAATTTTGTCACTTCTTATTTGACTACTTCTCAGTATTGAGAAAGTTCATTTATAAGATCCCATCACATTTGGTAAATGCAGTGGTCTGTGCAGAAGCTTTTCTTTAAATCATCATTATATTGAGCTGAGACAAGTATTTGGATTGTCTTCATTTTATCAGAAGTTTTGTGTATGTTGTAATGTAAAACCAAATCACAACAATGGTAATACAATATATTTTTTACTGTATAAACTTTTTCCTTTTTATAAATAAAAAGGCAGAAAAAAAGCTCCCTCTTAATGATTTCTGCCTCGATGGACACAGACTTCTTTAAAAATGCAATATTAATATTTTTATGAAGCTTTTAAGAAATATGTTCTTGTTTGTTTCATTATTTAACAGTGTTTTGGCAGGCGTCCTGTCATCGTGTTTCAGAGCTCGAATTGCCGCTTCATGATGTGTCACAAACATTTTCAAAATTATTTTCAAAAAAAACTTTTTAGGCGATTTAAAATTACTGCTGTGATAAAAGTCTAATACTGATATATTAACTGATACATGGGGTTCTGTATCATAGAAATAACAAGTTAGCACATATTTTGTGTACACAGAAATCAATTAATGGCACAGCCCTTTGTGTATATATTTACAGGTTAGAAGTAATGGCTATACAATGAAAAGGTCATTATAACCTTAATCTGCAAGAAATGAGATTTTAAACTGATTTTTAGATTTTACTGTAGTTAAGTGAAAGTAAATTGTCTGAAAGAGGCTTTTATATTTGCTTTCTTATAAGGGGCATAGCACTCTGAAAGAGCTGTAACCAAGGAAATTCCCAAGAAGTACTCATTTGTGACAAGAGGAGACTAAAAGTTTGGTACTGTAACTTTTAATAAGACAGCCATAAAGTCACTGCAGTGTTATGGAAATTAAGATATAGTTTTCAAAAGGGAGAACTTTGTAGCTGGCAGGTTACAAGGAACAAAAAAAAACATCACTGACATAATCCAGACCAGTCAAGGTCATAGAAAACATTTTACTGGAGAAAAAAGCAAATTGATTGTACTTACTGTAATCTGTAAAATGTGCGGCACTGAATACATTTAGATTTTTAAATCTCTCTTGACATAATTTAACAAAAGGTACTCACAATTAGATGAACACCACTTGTATCTTCATTACCTTTCTTTGATAAAAAATTTTACCAGTGCAAAGGACTTTTTTTTTTCCAGTGGATTGAAATACAGAGAAAACCCCTCTCAGCTGGCAAGACAGGATACCCCTTTCAACTTTCAGAAATATATTTCCAACATGTGCCACTCTTTTGAAGTTAAAAATGACAGTGCATATTACACGATTTTACATCAATCAGAACAAGACTATCATGGGTCCACTGGAGACCCCTGTACCATTTTTACTATTTTAAAATGCTGCAGTGACTTTGATCTGGATTAGTGCTGCAGAATAGTATTCTCCTTTGAAGAACTAATGGGGGGGACACAAGTCTCAAAGCTCTTCAGATATTATTATGTGGCTTTTAGAGAGATAATCAATGTGGAGCTGTATTAAGACATATTCATTGTGCAGTTTTATTCACAACGAAATTCAGACCACAGATCTTGTCTTTTTTCTGTCTTCCTCTATCAGAAATCAGTGCCATTTCACCTGTCAAGTCTAAATGATTATGAAATCACTCTTTGTCAGCATAGCTCAAGACTACCTTCTTTTGAATTTAATTTTAAACTGCATTACTTAGGCAGTGCTTATTCTCATCAATGTCAAAGGTACAGTTCCTTTTTTGTAGAAGACGATCTTGCATTAATTCTCAGCTTCGAAGGGGATCTTTTATGCTTTGACAAGGGAAGAGCAGGACTATCATCTGTGTTCATAATCTTTTAGCATTACACTTTGAAAAATTGATTTATCTTTGATGATTGTTTTTCGTGGACACACTCCAGGTTTTTTTTGAAGAAGATGCTCAGGGGCAGATGTTGCTGGGGTCTTTTTATCTGCTTGGCAAAAACATTATGGAAACCTAAGCCAGAGATGTATGCTAAATTGGGGGCAATTTCAATTTGAAAAACTGATGTAAATATATAACACCTTGGCTTTATTTTGGAACTGCTAAAGCAAGGCAAGCAGCAAATTCTAATTAATACAGGATGGAATTTAATAGGTTTCCCTGGAAGCTGTTTTTTCCATGAATGTATCCAAACAATACAATTCAACATTACGTGTGGTTCCTATTTA